CGGACGCTCGCTGCGGGGCGAGTTTGTGCACGACGACGTGTGGGCGATCGTGAACAACCCCGACGTGCGGCCGGGGGCCCCGCTGCGCTGGGCCGTTTTCGCCAACGACTTCTGGGGCAAGGGCCTGGCGGACAGCACCAGCCACAAGTCCTATCGGCCGCTGTGCGTGCTGTCCTTCAGGTGAGCCCCGTGCGCCCTGGGGTCCGGACACCTGTCCCCGGAGAAGGGGTGTCACTGCGGGGGCACTTCTGACGGATCCATCCGTACCTCCTCTAGGGTGTCCTCCCCTTTCAGCTCTTTCCCCCAGGCTCTACCCTACATGGTTTTTTGCCATCAGCTCGATCTGCCCCGTTTTACTTTGTGTTCTCCAGGCTCAGCCTGGTCCTCCAGGTTCTACGCTTGCTACTCCCTGCTCTGCTCGGTTCTCCTGGCTTTGCCCCAGGTCCTCTGGGCTCTATGCTTGGTGTTTCTGGTTCTATCCTCAGTGCTTTCTACTCGGCTCCAGGTCCTCCCGGCTCTGTCTAGTATCTGTCAGCGATATAGCCCCGGCTTCTCTCTGCGCTCTGCCACAGGACCTCGTCGCTCTGGCTGGAACCTCCCGGTTTTAGCCCTGATCCTGCTGCGCCGCCAGACTCTGTCCCGAGTCCTCTGGGCTCCGCCTCTGGTCCTTACCGATGTCAACTCCAGGTTCTTAAGGCTCTGCCCGTGTTCTCAAGCACAGCACCGTTTTCTTCTGGCTCTGTCTTGGGTTCTCTCTGCGCTACTCAGGGACCTCCCCGCTCTGCCTCGGTCCTCCCAGCCAAGCCTAGGTTCTCCCGCGCTTCCTAGCTCCTGGGGCACCGGCTGCGGAGTTGGTATTGAGTTTCCCCAGAGACTGTGCTTCCTCTGCTAGGTTGCCGGGGGTTCATTGCTGGTGGATCTGACTTCTTACGCGACCCCTTCACTACCCTTCCCAGTTTTCTACTGGTGATCCGCGGGTTCCAGAGGGTGGCGATGCTCCAAGTTGTTAGCTTCTCCCGGGAGATTTGACTGCTAGGCGGGTGAGGAGTAGAAGGGACGGATCAAGTGGCCTAGGATGCTCCTGGAGCTGCCAGGTTGTGAGTGTTCCAGGCAGGAGCTGGGGAGAGGGGTCAGGCACCCTACTCTGGCGCACCAGACTTTGCAGAGCCGCTGATAGCCTCCCTAACCCCAGTATCTCCAATCCCAGCCTCCCCATTCGAGAACTCCGCAACCACAGCCTCTGAGTCCACCGTGTGGCGCCCAGACTCAGGGACTCGCACCGAGTACGCGCAAAGTGGTGGGGTACCTGCCTGGGGTCGCAGAGAGACCCTTCCCAAGCTCCGGAATCATGACTCAGCGTTTCTGGTGTGAAGTAGTGGTTCCGGACCGAGAATTACTCGTCTGCAGGGTGGGGTATCCGCTTGAATTTAGAATTCTGGGGAAAGGACCGGTTGGAGCCAAAGAGCTGATTCAGTGTAACTTGGCTCCGCTGGTGTGAGTAGGAGCACACAGCTCACAGGGTATCAGCCCCGCATTAACCTCTTTTCAATCCTTGTCATCGGAGCCTTAGTTCATTAAACTGATCTCTGGGAACAGTTGGCAAAGTAACAGTCAGCGTGGGCCTTCAGGCCCAGGGCTTTGGAGAGGCGACCCCATGACTTAGACAAGGAGACCCCGGCAGCTGACTTTTCACACACTTCTTTCAAATGAACTAATGTTTTAAAGAGGGCGAGAAAATAACACGTCTGACTCGCAAGGGGATGTTTTACAAACATTTATCTTTGGAAAGTTGTGTTGGTTTTCAACCCAAGATAGCCTTAGCTGCGGTTTCTCAGCCTTATTAATTTCCCAAGTTTTTTTTTTTTTAATCTTAAAAATAGGAACGCTTCCTTTTACACTCGATGAACATTTTCATCGAGTGGGCGAGGCTGTTGATTAATTGGAAGGTGAATAAGCTCACAGCTCTCCAGACTTTTTTACAGCCCTGGTTCCTGGCCTGTGCTGTTTCCATTTAAAGGGCCAGGGTTGAATGCCTGCTGGCGGATGGGCTGGCTGTCCAAGTGTTGTTAATGGTTCCTAACAGGAGCTCTGCCAGGGCAGAGGAGGAAGGGAGGGAGGGCTGTGCAGCAACTCCACCCCTTATATCACTAGCTCCACTTCATTTCCCCATCCCCCGTGGGAGGGGTTAGTGGGGAAATCGGCAGGGTTGACGGGCAGGGGTGGCAAAGTAGGGGAAAGGAGGGATATGAACCCTCTTTGGGTGTTTATTGTTTTTGCAGAGCACTTTGGTGTCTAAGACATTGATCTTTGCTGTGTGGGTTGTTATTTTTGTTTTGGTTGGTTTCAGTCAACTTGACACAAGCTAGGGTCCTCTAGGAAGAGGGAAACTCAGTTGAGAAAATGATGCCCCCATCAGATTGGTCAGTAGGTAAACCTGTGTGGACCTCTTCCTGATTAATGATTGACAGGGGCGAGCACAGCCCACTGTGGGTGGTACCACTCCTGGGCAGGTGGTCGTAGGTTGTATAAGAAAGCAGGCTGAGCAAGCCAGTAAGCAGTGTTCCTCTATGTCTCTGCACGTTCCTGCCGTGACTTCCCCAAACGATGGAGCTGTGATCCAGACACGTAAGGCGATAAGCCCCTTTCCCTCTGTTGTTTTGGGTTATGGTGTTTATCACAGCAATAGAAAGCAAACAGAGATACAGTGGTGTCCCTGCCTCTGAGTTGTGAGCCTGAAGTGCAGACAGGGTGTGTGTGACTCGAAATAGTTACCTTATCTGGAAGAGAAAGCAGACCAGCTCTGCTCAGGGGGTCAGTCTCCATCAGAGTAGCTCCGTCTTCCATAGTCTATTAGGTATACCCCATGTTCCCATGCAGTTGCATGAATGGAAGGTCCTTGAAGTCTTCAGACACATTTAATATTTTTTCCCTTTCCTCTTCCCCCTGTTTTTGTTGTTGTGTTGTTTTGGTTTTGTTTCCTGAGACAGGCTCTCACTCCACAGCCCAGGCTGACTGTTCTTTACTCATGACAGTTCTGCCTCAGTCTCCTAAGTGTTGAGATTACAGATTCAGTGAGCTACCATGTCTAGAGACCTATATAACTTAAACCTGCAAAAAGGGATGTCAAACTCCTTGGATCATTTATGAATCAGGCATTGGCCAACTGTCCTGGCTGGCTTTTATGTCAGCTTGGCACAGGTTAGAGCATCGGTGAGGAGAGAACCTCAATTGAGAAAATGCTTCCATAATGTCAGGCTGTAGGCAAGCCTGAAGGGTATTTTCTTAATTAGTGATTGATGTGTGAGTACTCAACCCATTGTGGGTGTGGCCACCCCTGGGCTAGTGGTCCTGGGTGCTAGGAAATAGCATTGATATAATCTGTGGGATCTCCCCACACCCTAGATTTCATCGGTTTGTGCATGCCTATTTTATTTATTTTGGTGTATCAGCAGTTTTATGACAGGTGTCAATTACTGAGATTCTACTGTAGTTACAAGGCCTAGAACACTTCCATCATCTGGACTCTGAACATTCTCACTGTAGCAACACCCCAAAGCTCTCACATCCAGTTCACAAACACCCACCCTGACCTATGACAACCACTAATTCTCCATCTCTATAATTTTATCATTTCGATGTTACATAAGCAAAATTGCTTAGCATACACTTTATTGAGATTGCCTTTCCCCCCCTTAAATCTCAGCATTTCTCTGGAGCTTCATTCATATGGTTGTGTGCAATGAAGAGTTCATTCCTTTTCACTCCTGAATAGTATTCTGCACTATAAATGTCCCAAAGTCTGTTCATTTTTCTCTCATTTTTGTACTTTACTTTTTGTTCACATAGAATCCCAAATAAAAACATAAACCTTTTTTTAGTAAAAGTAAGTTTATATCCTCAATATTTTAAATATTTAACTGTTAAATATTTAAAATATTGTTAAATTGAGTATTAAATATTCAAATGTCACATACTAAGAGATAGAAAGTATTTTAAGAACAAATATGGCCAATTGCTATTTAATTCTTTTGCTGGACAGATGTTTGTATAGAAAGAATAATGGCTATACCTATATATTATATATCTATAGTAAAGAGCCTCCTCGTGTTTCTCACCTAAAAGGTGTCGTGGACTGAGCACATACTGATCCGAGCATACTAGTTGCAGAGTCTCGAACAGTGGCACAAGGTGGACAGGGTTGTGTACGCCTTCACTTTAGCTCCGTTTTAGCTGTTTCTAGACCCCTCCTCCCAGGGTGGTTCTGCTAGGGCTGACCCTGGGTGACACTTCTGAGAGGTTTGGAAGGTGAAAGGGAAGTGGCCATGCTCAGGCTGAGAAGGCCATGATCAGGCTGAGTGGCCTAGGTTTTCAGGGCTGTGGAGTCCCATGCAGACTGAGCAGGAAGTGTTGGCCACTCCTGGTGGTGAGAGCAGTTGCTCAGGTCCTGGCCTCAAGTCTAGACCCCCCCACCTCCCTCCCAGCTCTTACTCAGGGGTGCGGGCACAGGTGTGAGTAGCTGAGTGGAAGAGTCAGGCGTTCTGCAAGTTCACCGTGTTCGGGCGGAGCCTCGGAGGCAGTGAGACACGGTGTTCTGTAGCATAGTGTGCCTGCGGTCTAGCCCAAGCCAACTTCCTGTGCACAGCCCTCTCTCCCATCTTCCTGCCCTGCGGACTTCCAAAGCCAAGCATCAGACTTGCGTGGGCGAGGTAATGGTGACCTCTCACATGGCTGTAGTAAATATTTTCTCCTGCATTATCCCCGGGGGTCATGCCTAAGTATTGCAGTCGCCTCTGCTCCTTGAGTTACCCTGTCTTATATTCTCATGAGCAAGGACATGCAGGAATATTTGTAGACAATAGCAGAGAAGAAACAAACCATGTGAGAATCTACTCTGCTGTCCTCACGCTCCTCTGATTCGGCTTCTGTTTTTGTCCTTAACTTTTTTGTTGGTGCTCATTCAGTGTGCAGAGTGGGGGAGAGGGACTTCACACAGATGGTTTTCGCTCACGTACACCGTGTACTTTGGCTGTATCCAGCCCTCCCCTCTCCTTTCTCCTGGCTGCCCCTCCTACTCGTCCCTTCCTGCTTCTCCAGATAGTGTCCCCCTTACCTGCATGCTCTATATGTGTGTGTGCATGTGTGTATTATATATATGGATTTATAACCCTATAAAATCCAAG